AGAAGACTAAAGTTGACGCTGAAAAGGAGTTAAAATTCCTCACTCGTGCATTAGTCATCTAACCTCAACAGGCGTGCTTTACAGTGTTCTGTATCGATCTATTGAATCAACTGACACTGCTGTGAACTAGACCAAATACTAGCCTACACAATACTACTCCAAAACAAATGCAGCAGACTATTGGAATCGTTTTGCAAGTTCCTGACTCTAAACTTTAGATGGGCTGCTTTTTTTAAAATAATATTTATGTATAAATCCTCTTTATTTGATATTCTTAGGAGGGGGAAAGCCTCCAAGAAAACCCCTTGCTCTCTGCTTTGCAACAGCTGTGCTCTGCAAACCGGTATCAACCATGACCTGAATCATTAAACCTCAGTTTTACCATTACAACCAGTCCATCACTGCAGAAATGTGACCCTTCTAGATAGATCCCGAAATGCTCACTCTGTCATAATGATAGCTCGCACAATGATGTCTTTAGAAATGTGGAGTACAGATCTGAATGATTGTTAGAGAGTGCCTAATGGGAGAGGAAAATGAGGGTCCAATTACTGAAAGTGGCCATGCCCTTTTTCAGGGATCTTATAAATATACATCAAGCTATCTTGTCAGAGTAGAGAGGCCGAATGGAGATCCAGCAAGGCATCAAGCCACCGTAAATGCCCCAAGAAAAACAGACATACAAGTGGGAGGATATAGATGATGAAATCTATGTTGTAGAAAATGTACCTTTGTTTTCCACTTTGTTTACTAATGGTCAAGATGTGTTTCATAGGTATGTCAGTTATGCCACAGGTACTGGAATAAACCAGTTAAAATATGCTATAGTGATACTGGTCTTACACCATGTGTAAGTGCATTATGTACAAGTGCTGGTGTAAGCATGAAGGTAATTATTTTTTATTCTGCTCCTTAATCGTTTGCTTTAAAATCTAGAAAACCTATTGAACAGTCTATCAACATGCCAATGTATAATGAGTGTAACTACACATCCCTCTTTATAGAATGCACATAGTTATTGAGCAAAAAGATGAAAAAAGAAGAAGAAAAAACAGGGATATTGAGAAATAAATGGTTTCCAAAGTAAGTTCATTTGATGCAAACATCATTTACTTCAGACGCTTTATGCTCTCTGTGCCACACCTATCGTTCTGTTAAATGTTCTCAACCATCCTCTGAATAAAGAATCAATTAAATAAAGATATACTGTAGCCTTACAAATAAATCTATATCCATCCAACCTGTAGTGCTGTAAGAGTCATACAGACAAACTCTCGGGGTTAGGAGCAGAAACCCCGGCCTGCAACAACTGCTGTCATTCATGTTCTATGTCAAGCTCTTCTAATAGCGCTCCCAATTCACAGAAAGATGCACCGCTCACTGCTCGGGGCGAAATCCTGCCTGTCTACCACCTCAATGCAGCAGCTGTGGCCTGCATACAGTGACAGGTTAGTGATAGAGTGCGCATTCGCAACAACATTGTTCCATTAATTCATTTCAGAGGAATAAATGGGGCTTAATGAGCGATAATTAAATGCTCTACAGAGTGAGAATCATTTGCACGCCTGTCAATAACAAGTATGAAGGCGGTTTAAGGGCGATGTGTTACTCCCAGGCTCAGATGACCTTTTTTGTGTACAAGTGCTGCACCAATTTGTACTGTATTTTTTACTGACAATTACTCTCCGGTCTGCATGCACCCACACTCATGCTCAAACAAAATGCAGTTTTGTATATAGATAAAAAAAAAAAAAAGCACAAGGCCTCAAGCAATATATTTTTTTGTCACACCTTCAGACTTTTGAGTAAGGCAGAGACATGTAATAAAAACACTACCACTATGCCAATAACGACTAAAAAAGCAAGTCTTAAGTTACACTTCCAAGTAGAGCAGTGTGAGATCCTATTCCAATTGCAAACACTTTTGCTCTCATTCAGTCAGATGCAATTTTCTTTACTGGCATTGAATGTCATAGCCTCCATCTCTTAAACTGCAGATCTATTCTACATACAAGCTTTAAAGGGAGTCAAAAAGAGTTCTTATTCTGTGAAAAGATATAAATGTCAAATATTCATAAGCCTTAAAAAAAAAAAAAAAACCTCTTAAAAGTGGTGGTGTTTCATCATCATCGTTGACATGACACAAAAAGCACAGGACTGCACGGAAATACTTAAAACAATGTGTTACTGCTAAGAACTTAACAGCAGTCGGAACATTTTAGTTCTTCCATTTGCAGTAGAATAATGTCCGATACAAAACTGCAAGGTCAGCTAAATAACTTAACATGAGAAGAACTGTAACTTGGTGTTTTCTTTCTACTTTGACAGGAAACCAGAGCTCCCAGCTGACTGAGTCCTGAGGAATAGGAGCAGGCCGTTAGCTCTGTAGGTAACCTGTTTATCATACAGTGCCTAGGAACAGGAAGACAACAATTGCATTGCTTTTGAGGGACATACAGTGTGTACATTTAGTCCCCTGGTTCACACACTTGGAAGCTCGGATGCCTCTGCACAAGAGGGATTGAAGGCAGGTTTGGGATCTGAGCTATAAGAACACTTGGAATCGATATTCAACCCTTCCTCCTGGAAAAAAAAGCCACTACTGTCTCAAGTTTTAATCTATGGTCGGTCACTTCTTAAGTTTGGGCAACTAAAGCAATTTAAGTAGCCTAGGTTTGGGTAATAAAACAACTATGGTTAAAGTTAGGGAAATATTGTTAGGGTTCAATTTGAATAAAACTTGATTGTGTCAGGTCACGCCTGACTTTTTCAAACTATTTTATTTTTGCCATGTAAGTGGTACGTTAAGTAAAAACTGAATGTGCATAGGTATGTGTTTCCATTCCACATTAACTACATATAGCACTATTTTAGAAGACTCAGGTGCAATGTTCAGACCCCAGGCGAAATGTACAAGTCCAAGGTTCAAGTTTACCCATGATGGTCTAGAATATAGATGTGCTGGTTCACTTTTGGGATGCTTAATATGACAGAAAGAAGCAGTCAACAGATCATTTTGGATCTTCGGTCCCTGCTGAATGAATGACAGAGCTCAAAGGGAAAGGAGGATGTCAAGAAGCTGACAGCTCGTGTGTCTGTGAAATGTTGAAAACGGCATGATCTGAGAGAAGTGAGAGTCACAAAAGAAACAGTGAAAGGATTAAATACTCTGAGTAAGAAGCACTTTGATTACAATGGCCCGCATGAGCAGCATCGCTGTGCTGTTCCGTACTTTGAACTACATAAAAGAGATCAACAGAGGCCCGATGAGCGGGTGTGGCAAATCTCTCAGGTAATACAGTGAGGGCGACCGTGCCAGTTTGATCGCGTCACTGACCAGATTTGCTAAGTGGTGAAAGAATCAGGGGGGTGGGGGTGGTGGGGGGGGGGGGTGGCGGTGGTTGTTGTTTGAGGTACTCAAGAGGTAATAAGGTCCATTTTGTGTCACCTCTCTAATGGGATGATGAGTTTAAAAGCCAGAGTGAGAGTGGCAAAATCAAGAGCAGAGGGGAGCATTTGTGTCCCATGAGTAGAAGCTAAGAGGATTTAAGCAGGCGGCCAGCAGTACAGGGCACACTTCATGTTCTGGGCCACAACAAAAGATTGGAAGTAGAAATGCATGCAGCATGTGATGGTTGCGAAAGAGGTTCTTTTATTACATGTGTTGCATTTTGTAAATTTGCCGCAAAACACGCAGAGAATGAGGAGCCAAAGTTTGAAGTCGTGTTGCAGGCTGACCAGCTTGGGACATTAGTTGTAGACAAAGATCCAGTCACACAGACGCTGACACTGCTGTATAATTAAACGAGAAGAGACTCATTTTTACCCTGGTGAGGACAAGGACGACACCTTTTGTGAAATTAGAGCTTTTGACAAGTTGCTCTTGCAGCTCAAGTGACGGGACACCTCGAGAATTCTGTCACTAAAACGATGTGTCATTTCTTTAACAGAAAGGTGGATCTGCACATGCAGCTGCACATGTAAGTTAATGATTGAGTGCAACCTAGTGCAAAAACACCAATGCAACTCTATGCTGTATTGTTCTTAAGCTGACATTAATTGCCTAAACATGTTGAAATCGTAACTTTAGAAAAAAGACAGAGGTGGAATATGACTATGTTTGATTTCCATAAATTATGACTAAAAATGAATAAATAATGCCAAATTACTCAAACAAATCCCCATGTGATTCTAAAAGGAATGCATCTCCTGGTCGAAGTCTACTCGGTAACTACTTGAGCATGAACCTTAATAAAACAGAGAAAACCCTCAAGTGCTCACAATTTTATAGTTTGCACTACAGCTCTCACTGCTGGCCCACTTCGTGCACTAACGATTCATTTGTGCAGGACTAGTAATACAATAGGCTGTGCCACAATGTGAGGTATTAAAGCATTAAAGCAGGACGTGAGCCTAAGTAGAGCCTAGGAGCCAATTTGCTTAGGGCAGCGTGATTTCCCCCCTTCCCCCCCCACGTGATCCCGGTGATACAGGCCGCTGTCCCTGGTCCTGAAACTGAACTGGTTCTATAGAATGCATGGGCTCGATTTCCTATAAGAAGCAGCGACACATCTTGGAGAAAAAAAAAACATTTGTTTATGAAGCCCACGGGAGTGAGAGGTGCATTAAAATGTGCCGATAAGCTTCATGCGGGTTTGCAGGATGCAGATAGTGGGATTCACACGAACTGCAATTCCTCATATGCAACAGTGCGAGGCGCATGTCTGATGCAGTTGAGGGGAAAGAGAATGGGAGAGAGAAAGAGAGTTTGATTGATCATGTGGGCTATGGGAGCCTGCGAGAGTTGTCGAAAATTGCTGCATAGACGCCCCTCAGGCACCTATCTGGTTACCCAGTGACTCCAACCATTGCTGTGGCCAGAATCACCACAAAACACCAGAGTACCTGTTACCAAAACGCCCTCAGCCAGCCGGGCTGCTAACACATCGTTCATTCTTCCGGGTTGCACTTCACCGGTAATCCACAATACATATACTTACCGCAGTCTTCACACAAGATCTTCCCAACATCTTTTTTTAGGTTCTTTCCACTCGTGTCCAGAGGCGCGAACGATGCCTTGAAAACCAAAGGCTCGTCAGTGGGGTCCATGAAAAAAATGTACTTGTGGTTCTTCTTCACTTTGGTGCACGGAGCCTCAGTTCCAAATTCTCCCACGGTGACGAGCTGTTCTCGCTCCAGACCCCCGCTGTTCTGGGGCCAAACATCCAGCACTTTGACATTCACACGGTACGGCTCCGCGGAGACGTTCACAGGCGTAGACTGCACCTTGCCCTCGATCACCACAGCGGATTTGAAAACCTGGTCCTGCAGGGAATTCAAATTCGGGGAGTAGCAGGCGAATGAGACCCCGATGACCAGCATGGATAAATGTACTGAATCAAGCCTCATGCCGCCTGCTTTGGCTCGGTGGTCGCTGGTCGCGTTGCGGCAGGGCTCTCTCGGCTGCGGGGCGATGGCGATGGAGCTTGGTTGAATGTAGAGACAGTGAGTAGGCTCCTGTAGCACGGCAGCGCGGCAGACCTTGCATAAGTGTCCATGCCATCGGGATCCGCTGCTTTTTCGAGTGTTTTCCAACGGGTAAACAGCTGGGTGTCAAATCCAGTCACTGCTTTCCGCTAAAAAAAATAAGGCATTGGAGACAGGGCTAAGCAAGGAATTGGCGGATTCTCCCCTCCAGAAGATGCCCCCCTATGCTGCCATAGTGTAGCCTTAACTGCAAGACGACGCCACTCTTATCTTTGCCCAAAAATTGCAGTGGTGGGGTACCGCTATGATGCTTTTCTGTATCATCTGCAGCGGAGGGAAAGACGCAAAAATGCTGCAGTGAAGCACAAGTTTGGTAGTCCGCTCTCAAAAACATAAGCCACGTTTCATTCCCCCAAAATAAAGCATTATTCGTGGTCAGCAGCTATAACGCTATTACGGCGCCTTCCTCCACGGCTCTCTCTCCGCCTCCCCCACTAGCCACAGACGGAGAGGAAATAATGCCGATTGCCAGGGGGCTCCGTCAACAAAAAAAATCGCAGGAATAGAGCACTGAAATACAGGCAACCGATGGACCAAAAGGGTCGATCTCCTCGCTGCCAAAAACCCAGTTACTGTACGTCAATCACTCCATGTTTTAGCAGCCGTGATCTCACGTTCAAATGAAACAAACCGGATCCTAAATCCATGACTGTCCCCTCCTTAGAAACGCATCTTACTGTAGCCAAGGCATCACTCCAACAAATGAAAATCTGTTCACATTCAAAAATGCAGCCGCATATACACCGGTAGGCCTAGAAAAATCATATGGCCGCGATGACTAAGGCTGCGAAAGCATCTCAGATTCTTCAACAGACTGTTTTGAATGAGTTTTGCGTCTCATCCCATTAAGTCATGCCCTGCATTCAGGTCACATTCACTGCTCTGCCTCTGAAAAAAAAAAACTGATGTTGAAGCACCGCATTAAATCCATACAGATAAATCAGCTGCAATATTCGGCTCCTTAAGAGAGGAAAGTCTTTTCAGCAATATATACAAGGAGAACAATCTGTGACAAAATATGCTTCTATGTTTTAACAGTTAGAATGTCACGTTGAGACGTATTCTGAAGGGCTTTATCGCCAAATAAGTTCCAATTCGGAAAGATAATTCTAAATGAAAATGTAAATGGTTAGTCATCTCTGGCATGGTTTTAGATAAAGTTAGAATATCATGGTTTGGTTTGGTTTCGCCTAAATAGAATGCGGATACAGGATGTTGTATTCACAAAGAGCGACACCTGCTGACCACTGTGTGTCTATGAACACTTTGACATACATTTGCTGTACATGATGCTGTAAATCAAACTACCTTTGTGCTAGCTCAGAAAAAAAACGTGTTAAAAATAAAACAGTGTTTTGGCTGATGAATTACGGTTAGGCCTTATTAAGATAGCCAAAAGAACAGTTTAGGGGACTATTTATTCACTGAAATGACCTAAAACAAGTATTCAATAAGTCAAAAAAAAAAAAGATACACATTTGTACTAAAAATGTAAATGGAATAACACCTATACATGTATGTATGTCTCCACTTGTGCGCATGCCCAATAGACCTGATATAGACCTCTGCTCTCCGTGGTGCTGAAACTTTACGAGGCCATTAAATTACGACCACATAGTGTTGGACACACATATGAAGTTATTAATCACAGCGTGAAAAGAAGTCCTCTTTCTCGTACATTATGTGCTTTTATAACATCACTTTAAAAAATAAATAAAAAACACACACAGAAAGCCGAGTGTGTGTATGGCTGTCACTCTGTTTCCCTTACAGATTAATGCCTATAAAGTTGGGCAAATGTCAAAAAAATGTGACGCAAATTGATCCAAACTGGTAACCAGCTGCTGATCGAATCAATGCTCACCGACTTCGTCAGACACTGTCCTCCATTACAGGTGCAAAAGATGTTGCCCTACCTGTTACCACTAGAAGGCTTAAAGCTGCAATTCCTCGATACCACCAAAGGGAGGTGCACGTCTACCGAGCTCCCACCGTGCGTGTTGACATCAGAGGCTAAAACGTGCGGCGTTCAACTCGTGCGTGCATGTGTCTCTCTCCGTGCCACGACTCGCCGTTTCTTGTCCATCTTGTGCAGCGAGCAGGAGCAGTTCTCCGAGCTGTTACAAAGGCCTACGAACGTTTTTAAATGTGTATTTCGGTTTGTCTTGTCTTCTTCTTCCCCCCGTCGAGGCTGTAAGGCGCCGCGCGTGCAGACCGAGCGCTGTTAAGGTAGGTTGTGGGCTCTCGCTTGGTGGAATGACGCTTTATTTACATGTCATTCGGTTGGTTTCTCGCTCTCCCGCAGCGTTTTGGTGACCTAACGTGCAGCCAAGCATATGACATTGCCTCGCAGAGTTCACAGAAGCATAACATGACGGTGTGCCGCCATGAGTCGGTTCTGAAATTGTAATGGAGCTGTATTTCGAGAAGCGTCACATCGTTCCGGTGTCGGTGGATGTAGGGCAAAACTTTGTAAGGGGATCACAGCTGCTCTCTGTTACATACTGCGACGACACCTCTGCTGGGGCTGCAACCTGCGCTAGACGTGGCATCGGCAATAAAACAGCTGCCTTTCCTGATTTATACTCGAATAAAAACGAGTCTGAAAAAAATGGGTGAAGTAGGATAGGTAGCATTTGTAGTCTGTGCAAGAAGCTGATGAACTACGGCACTGACAGGTTCCATTAAGCCTTCTAGGTGAGATTATTTAAAAGGGAATGAATGTAACATGTCCTAGGTTGCCTGTCCCATTGTATATTATGTAGGATACATAACTCTGAATTTTAATAACATGTTTGGCATTGATTACATTTAGCGTGAATGCAGATGCGTGTGTATCACACAGAAGTCCTAACAGGTTGAAGAAATAGGAGTGGCCTTTTACTCAAAAACAACTCACATCGAGTCTGGTAATGAAATATTTTAACAGCAAGGACGTTAATATTGAGGTCAGTTTGAACCAACAAAGCTGCAAAAAGGCCTACGTGGGTCTGCAATACAATGCAAAAAGGCCATGGTCTATGAACAAGTTTTTATTCCTTTTTGGTTAAGCGAAAATAGGGATGTCTTATAAGGAGTCCTAAAAACTTACCCTTTTTTTCATCTTTTTTCATCCCCAAACATGACTGGATTTGTCTAAGAAGAAGCTTTGGTTTCTGTTCAGCTGATCAGCAGGCCCAACGACCTTCGAGGCAATAAGAGTTGCAGGTATATGAGTTTAGGCTATATGACATATATTAACATAGGAAAAATATTTATAGAGATATAAATACAGAAAAAAAAAACCCAGCTTAACTACGATAACCTCGCCTCATTTACTCTCATTTTGACTTACAAAGCAACTGAATAACCTATCAGAGTAAACTTTGTCCTAAACGTAATTTAAGTAATAAATTGACCTATGGCTACTTATTCCTTATTTATAACTTGCTTAGGTCTGTCAAAGGGCAATGTTGGTATATTTTCAATAACCAATAAACTGAATTTTAGTTGTCAAATTGAATCTTGTTTATTTTACAAATGATATTGCTTTGGCCTATAGTGAGAATAAATAAAATGTATTGGTTCTCATTTGCATTTATTCAGCATTCTGACACAATATTACAACATATGCAGTTAGATTTTTTTCCCCCCCCAGTAAAAATCCTTAACTTAAATTTCAGTTTCTTATTTCATGTAGCCTATTTTGGGAAGCATGCAATTGAGCAAATGTTCTCCTCTGTATTTTTTTTTTTTTTTTACTCATAGGCTAGTGCAAAACTTAATTTGGCATGTCCATTTCTTAATAAATGACATTTCTTAAATTATCACTCAATGACATTGTTAAGTAAAATAGATATGCTTAAACCACAGTGCATATACATAGGCTTTTTTAGAAATGGATAAGATCATACTTTAGCCCCCTTTGTTGTTTTATGAGTTCTTGTCAGGCCTTCAGACAGCCTATGAGGCCACTAACACTGCAGAAACGAAGCTCACATGTTAGAGCAGGGTGATATATTATTTATCCTTAATTATTCTGTCAATTTTAGGGATTTATTTTCTTTCATTTTATTTACAGAATTAAATGATGATTCACTAAAAGGTTGAATTAGGCCCACAAAGTGCCCCTTTATTATTACAAGAACATTAACGGTAAACGGCATTTAGTATCAAAGCTCACCTCTTTGTGATGCATATTTATGAATAGCATACCGAATATTGTCTGTAGATTTCGCAAAGAGCGACTTTTAACACCCAATGCTTTCACAGTAAGTCTTCAATATCCACCAAAACGAGAGAAGTCCTGCCGGGGTAAAATAATATTTATCTTAGGGAAGTGAACAACAGTAGCCTGAACTAGCGTATAGCTTATAAATACATTTTATAAATAAATGTAAGACATTTTATTCTGGAAACTTGATTAATCGAAAAAAATAGTGACTCAGAATGAAGAAGACATGCTGTTTTTTGTGGTTATATATTTTTTTTAAACGAAGCAACTTGAAAGATTAAATGGCAGGAATTTTCAAACTTAAAAAAAAAATTGCTTCTATTTTACTTCCTTAGTTTATATTTAATTTTCCGAGAGGAAATATTAAACCGCCAATCAGAAATTTGAAGCAACGGTTAATAAGAAAAAAAACAATAGCAAATTTCAAAAACGAATTTAAGCAAAAAAAAAAAAAAAATGAAGGCCTATATGAAGCCTCTACTATAATAAACATTCAGAAAGTGTCCCCTGTATAAACAGCATTTGAACAGGTAACCATAAACAGGTTAATATACTATGAAGCCTAAAACTATTAACATTTTTAGTCTCGAAATGTTTTGTCGGCTGATTGAAGGCTTGTTATCGCCTCTATTATACCATATGCCATTTTTTTTTATGAGACGGTCTAGTATCTTAAATATACTTTCTAGGCCTACATTTGAACAGAAGCATTATGCGGTATTTTCATACGATGTCAGTCTTTTCTGAAGCTACATTTAACTACAGAAAGTCTGGTAAGAGCACAGCAAATAATGGGTTTCTTCTGCAGGTACATCTAACTCTGTTTTATAGGCTACAGAAGAAAAAGGTTACTGCTTTAAGGTGCGCTGCTGTAGGAGACGAGCACCTAACCCTACCTCACACAATTAGCATCACTTGCCGTTTAATTCGATAGACAATGTACGACTACACAATGAAGAGGTTACCTTAGGCCTACTGTAGGCCTGTGAGCAGGTAAGCCACTCAACGTATTAACACGACGTTCAGAGAAAGCCCGGACACCTGGTTAAAGACTTGTTATAATGACATATTAAAAAACAGCATGGGGGCTATGAAGTGATGATTGATATTACAAATCAGTGGACTTTTAATGTTACTGAAAAAGTATAGCTTTAATTGATACACGCCCATAATAGGCTACAAGCATGAAATTGATTCTATTACTCCATGGTGAACTCGTGGTTTAAAATGCTACAGTCTCATTTTAGGCCAGGATGAATGAAGGCCTACCAAGCGTGAAAAATCAAATTTCGTTGTTTTTCTTTCTCTCCGTTAAAATATTGCAAAAATGCTGACTTCAAGCTACACAACCCTAGCCCCAGTTCAGTGAGGGAGATACTAAATTTGCCATGTTGAGTAATAAAAGAAAACGTGGATATCTTTATTTTTTATTTTTTATTTTTTTTTATCGATTTTAACGAAACTGGAAATGCTAGTAATGTTGACAAATACAACGACAGCTGGCTTAAATTTCACTCTGTAAATATGATTTCTTACACGGTCCCTCTGCCCCTTTCCCGACATGCTTTCGAAATGCTACTCGTCATTGTTATAAAGACCAGCACATGTGAATGTTTGTGTAAGAAAGTAGCTTTTATTGCAATTTAAAAAAAATAAGTAGCCATGTGCCTAACTCTCTGTTCCCTGGTTCCAATAACTATAACGTTTTAAAGAAAGAAACAAATTAGGAGCCTGTGTCATTTCGATTTTTTTATATCATACCCTACAGTTGATAAAAGTTCAGCCGCAGTCTGGGATACTTAAATCAGAATGGATGTGATAATGTTGCACAGGTCTGTTAAAAGTCAACATTTGATTGGTCAAGATACAAGTCGTATTTTTCACATAGCCTTATTAAGTAACTAATAGCCTAATGACACAGGGACGTTAAATATATATATAAATATGGATTATATTATTATTTGTTTTTTTGGCCTTTTGACCTGCCTGTAAGCCATTGCCATCGAGTTTTAAAATACTCTCATATATGCAACGTAAGGATTGACTAGTGTGACTAGTGTTTAGGCGACTAGGATTTACAAAAAAAAATATTTGAGTGAGGACTTTATGTAAATGCAAACAAAACTGTTGTTGAAATAAAAAGCATTTGAAAAAAAAACGAATTAATAATTTAAGTCATCGCATTCATCATTAGCACATCACACCAACAGAGACACCTGTAAAGCAGTCACCCGGTGCTACATTACTGCTCTTACTTTAAAACAGAGGGCAAGCTGGGGTCTTCAGGTAGCAACAAAAAAAAAAAAACACCACCCTTTTCGATGAATTGAAACTTAATCACACTGTGGGCTTGTCATTTCCTCTCAACAAGCAAACCATAGGTTTAAATTTCCAGCATTTGACAGCCCGTGGGAGAAAAAAAACCGGCGTCCTCCTTCGCTCTGCATTAACGTCTCTCCTTCGCCTTTCCATACCTCTTTGTAGATCTCGCGAGAGCTCCGGCGTTCTCTGTGGCTGGCCGTGGCTTTGCAGCAGACAGAGGGAGAAGGCAGGCAGGCAGCATCATGGCGGACAGAGACAGTGGAAGTGAGCAGGGAGGAGCGGCCACGGGCCCAGGCTTCGGTTCCATGCACTTAGCCACAGGAGGGGCGGGCTCGGCTTCCGGGCTCCAGCATGAGACCCAGGAGCTGGCGTCGAAGCGGGTTGACATCCAAAACAAACGCTTCTATTTGGACGTAAAGCAGAACGCGAAAGGCCGCTTCTTAAAGATAGCAGAAGTCGGGGCCGGTGGAAACAAGAGCCGCCTCACTCTCTCCATGTCCGTGGCGGTCGAGTTCCGCGACTACTTGGGGGACTTCATCGAACATTATGCCCAGCTGGGTCCGAGCAACCCGGGACTGGTACAAGACGAGCCGAGGAGAGCGCTCAAAAGCGAATTCTTGGTCCGAGAGAATCGGAAATACTACATGGATCTGAAAGAGAACCAGAGAGGACGGTTCCTGAGGATTCGACAGACCGTTAACCGGGGGCCCGGTTTGGGATCCACGCAAGGCCAGACGATCGCTTTGCCCGCCCAGGGACTTATTGAGTTTCGTGACGCTTTGGCTAAACTTATTGACGATTACGGTGTAGAGGACGAACCTGCAGAGTTGCCCGAAGGGTCATCATTGACTGTGGACAACAAACGGTTCTTCTTCGACGTCGGATCCAATAAGTACGGTGTGTTCATGAGGGTAAGCGAGGTGAAGCCAACGTACCGCAACTCAATTACGGTGCCCTACAAAGTGTGGTCCAAATTTGGGAATACGTTCAGTAAGTATGCCGAGGAGATGAAGAAGATCCAGGAGAAGCAGCGGGAGAAAAGGGCATGCGAGCTCCAGCAACAAGAGGAGATGCAGGCGGACGATGGAGACGAGGATTGATATATAGAGCAAAAAAAGATGCAAGAGTAAAGAAAATAACAAGAGAATTATAATTAAAAACTCTACTGTATAAAGAAAGAAATCTAAAGATTTAACTGTAATGGTTTAACTCCAAGGGAGCATCACCCACAATATAAGAAACCTCCACAACCTGACAGTTATGACATGTCACTCATCGCTGGATGTTACCCCACTTATCCACCATTAATACAGTAACAGGCTGCTAAACAAAGTAATAACAATATATTTGAACATTGTTTCCTACTTGACAAACGATATTGAACTGAGTGTTTATTTCCCTTATTAACAGAAAACTTTTGTACCAGTTAAAGCTATTGTAAAAAAAAAAAAAAAAAAAAGTGTTTGCAATGTTCAAATGGAATTATTGCTGAGTTCTGAAGAAAAAGCGTTTCCTTTTCATGTGAGCTAATGACTTCAGCACAAATCAGATATTTTAATTTTTAAACCAAAATTCAAAATCTTTGTAAAAGGTTGTCACATGTACTACTTGCCATTCTATTTACCTTTACCTGTGAGTAGAGATGTGTTTACACATGAATCATATGAGGGCTAGGCCTGCTTTGGAAACTGGTTACATGTCATGCAGTATAAAAGGAACATATAGGCATTTTCATGAAATGAATTAAGTGCTCTATTTGTTGTGCAATATACATTGCATAGAAATCAAATTTATTAAACTGGTCAATGGATCATGATAGGATGACATTTGCCAGAGGCATTCAAAGAAATATTAATATTGTAGTTTTGTTTCAGTTTAAATTGTTGCCATGCAGATGGATATATATATATTATAGACTACCTTTGTGTCTTGTTGTTAATGCAATGTGTTCATTTTAAAGGTACTAAATGTGTATTTGACAGAAGAAATGCAGAGACAACATGTAGCAAATGGCCTAAATTGCAGATTACTAACAAGACAAGCCCTACACAAACTGTGCTGATTGGCCTGTGGTCTGAAAAAAAGGAGGCACAATTCAGCAGAGCATCATTGGTTAGCACATCGGATACAACAGAACTATTTTGTGATCTTGTTCAGTCATCAAAGTCCAGATCCAAGGAGTCTTGTTGCTGCATGTTTATCTGCACTAAGAGATTTCGTTGGTCTCCCAAAATATTGGCTCAAGGACCCTTCCATATGTATCTTTATCTGCCTATAGTGTACGAATCTCAAGTTTGAGTACCGAGTGATTCCATCCAAAGGCTTGGTGTAGTTGTAGTGGAAGTTGTTTCAAAGTGTGATTGTAAAAGGAGCGACCTTGTGACCTGTAGTCAAAGTATCATCTTCATAATATGGAGGGCACTGAGGAGCCCGCCTAGATAAGCCAAGGAGAAGAGGGTTCAATTCACCTCAAAGGTGAGCCCATCCCTTCAAGTTTAAAAATCTGAAGGTGTGAAGTTCTGCGGGGCTACTTTGGATACATACTCATAGCTCTACTTTAGATTTGTAAGCCCAAATATCTACCTGGGGGTGATGAGATTCTGTTTTGGTCTAATTGTAAATATTTGGGCTGCCACACGGAAAAACAACTGGTTCTAATCCAGTTCAGTCGCATCTCATAGATGTGTGATAGCAGTTTTATAAACTCTGTCAGTAAACTCCAGAGAAACTGGCAACAATCAGATAATGTCAGATATACCTCAGCATTGAATTAAATGACTGCTCCTGTGTTTAGATTGACTGGAAACCAGCAAACTAGAGATTCTGTTTTGGTCTAATTGTAAATATTTGGGCTGCCACACGGAAAAACAACTGGTTCTAATCCAGTTCAGTCGCATCTCATAGATGTGTGATAGCAGTTTTATAAACTCTGTCAGTAAACTCCAGAGAAACTGGCAACAATCAGATAATGTCAGATATACCTCAGCATTGAATTAAATGACTGCTCCTGTGTTTAGATTGACTGGAAACCAGCAAACTAGACTGTCCTTGACCACCTATTTTTGGAGCCTGTGGTATAGCCTAAAAGATACCGTATTGGGAGCATCCTCTTCAGCATATAAACAACCTGGTGCCTTACACACTCCGCATGCTTACACGCTGGCCTGGTGCTTTGGATTGCAGTTTGGCTTTTTTTTCCGTACTGTTTCCTCTTTTCTTTCTTCCATTCTTGTTTCTCAGCCCCCTTGTGTGCTAGTGCACGACTCGTGGTGCTAAAAGGGTTTGTTACAAGCTCTTAAAAAAACATAGGGGCAGAATTCTTAACTTTTTTCTGCTACCTTCCTCCTTCCCTAACCTAATTGCCATCCCCATTCCCCAGCTATCCAGGTATCGGCCTACATGTAAACATGGAAAGGGGTGGTCACCTAGATGCAAGATGATGCAGAGGAGTTGGCTCTTCACTAGCCAAGCGCATTAGCAGGAAGAGCAGGGGCTGATTGGGAACATCGGTACTGGCCTGAAGAGATATACACTTTTGTTGGCAAGCCCCCTTTGAAATGCTCGTTCTATGGCTTGGGTGGTTTTTGTGCAAGTTGTAAGTCGCTCAATTAATGGGGAGCAGCAAGCATGTCTTGTTTTGTTTTCTTTTGTTTTACGTAGTTTGACATTTTCAGCATTATTCCACATTATTTGTAATTTTGGAATGTTTTAGCCCACAAAAAATATATCTATTTTTTCTGTGCAACATTTCATCACTGTGTGCAATATCGTATGTGCCAATGTGGCAATATATGTATATCAATTAAATATATGATTACTATTTGAAAGCATGTGGCTGAATTCCATGTTTATTTCTCATGAAGGAGTTGTATGCCTTTATTTGCACTCAAAGCTCCATCCTAGAGGAAAATAGAGAAAACCAAGGTCTTAGCAGCCTGTTGGGTCGAGCAGTTCATAGAAGTATTCAACTTGAAACAGAGTAACATCACTGCAAGTACGCCCCTCTTTAGGAATCTTGGCTTATGGGTTGTTGAAGGAAGACCATAATGAGAATGGAGTTTTTGTGAAAAGGAAACTTAAAAAAAAAAAACAGTGAAATCTCCATTTTAGCTTTAAGCTAAGAAAAGGTGCTTCAGTCCAATCTTCATTAAGGTGTATGGTGAACTGTCTTCAGTGGTTGTTGTGTGTAGCACTTTGCTTTTCCAGGTTAATGAAATGCCTGACCAATACTTGTTTAAGTAATCTCAACAAAGAATGTCGTTCTTTCTTCTTTTATTTTATTAAAGAGGGTATTTCATTTGCTCTTTTGGTTTTGATGCATTCAATATAATTTATGTACATTTGACAAATTTTAAAAATAAATTTAATTTACCCACGAGGGAAAATCTACAGTCAAAATGTATGTGTTTTTTTATGTTTCAGTTCTTGTTGACAAAAAAATAAACAACCTAAAAAGTCAACATTTCTCTAGTGAAGTGTTACATTTTGATGTAGTGTTGTCCATAATGTCTGACTCTACCTTGGCAATGATACTAATAACTGAGCTTAATTTTACAGCCTTTAAAATGCTAACTTTGCAATGACAAGTACCTGATGACTTCTTCATAGAAATTTCCACATAAGTACTGTATGTATAATACCAGGCTGTAAAATAAAGCATTACTTTGTTCTCTAATCATCCTGACTGTGCAGTTTGTGATTATCTGTATGTAAGGATTGCTGTGGCTTGTGTAGAACAAATGAAATGTGACTTTATTGATGACTACAAAACAAAGCATGTATTTGTTTTACGTTAGATTTTTTGCTGGTTGAATGCGTGTAAACGAAAATGATATGATGGAAAAGATGAATAACTGTAAATGTTGAAAATAGGCCAATCACGATCATATTTTATATAATCTGCAGTCTCTGTTTTCGATCTGTCCCATGGCAAATATGTTATGTCAAACATTGCAAGAATTTTTATTTCCTCCGTCCACGCCTGCCGTTATTCCACCTACCAGAAGAAACTAAGCAACATAATGTCAATATAAGCATGACTAAAAATGTGCACTTCCCACCTATACGACTTCCAGGGAGGTCTGAGTTGGGGGTCCTGGCCTGCTCAAAGGCCTCCCTGCCGGACATATGTGTACATGTTTGGGCTTTTGATGTAAAGATAATTGTCTCTCGGCCTCTCTCAGCCCCCCTGCTGGCCACGAGGAAGCGTGAACAAACTGAAGGGGATGTGCTAAATTAAGATGGACTCCAGCCCAGATGCCAACTCATACTTTGAGTTTGCTCTTCGTCCAACAACCTACATAGATGATTGGTTAAGGTCACCCCAGCGTTGGAAGCACAAATGCAAAAACATCAGAACAGGTGGTAAAAGGTATCCTGACATTATCAAGACTATCCATGTGAAAGCTCAATGTACTCTTATGAAGGGAAGCCTCTTTTATTTCTGATTATAGTTTGTCCGGCTTGCTACTTAGAGGCACAATGGCAACAATTACGCACAAGAATGCTGCTAGGGAAGATTAATATAACAGGTTCAGCTCTCATACAGCTAGTGAAGAGAACTGCCTGATCTAATTCATATTTAACTGCTGCTGCAACATGTTTACCATCACCTGTCAGCACTGAATAGCATTAAATGCCTGCTACAATGCACAGCATCCTGCCACTGTAACCTGTAGGAGCAGCTGCATGTGCGGCGTGGTTGTTGCGGATCTTTACAAATATATATGTTTGGAAATAATTTTTTCGAGTTACCGTTTTTTTTCAATGTAAATTTGACTTGTGTTTTAGTGCTGCTGCTTCTGGAGCAGCTGAGCACTAGCTTTGGCGGTGACGTAATTATTTGCGGGTTTCTCTTGTTTTGACCACTAGAGGGTGCTCTTTAGCTAAAAATGAGACACAGGACACAAGAAGAAGGAGAAGAGAGAGTGGAAGATCTTTGGTTTGGCTACAATAATAATGGCAGACGAAGTAAGCAGCCACTTAGAGAAATACCACATGACAGACTCAAGGGCAGTTTGCACGGCGTTGTAGGCTTCTGCTACATGCACGTTAGAATAACTCGTTACCATTAAAGTGACGTTTTATTGATTTAAATGTAATTTTAGCCAGCTTAGCTAACGTGCTACTGTCACAATTTCTGGCGTTATTTCAAAGATACTATCATGCACATTCCTTCAGTAACAAATAAGCAGCTCAAGAGGCACTTTTTTTTAGTTTATGTGCATTTTATGCTGAAAAATGTGCCACATAGGCTATCTATTGACAAATGACAAGGAAATAATAAGATACATTTCTCATTTCCTTTCTCTCTTTTTAATTAGTACTTAAAAACCGAAGTGTTTTTTGTTTAAATATGTAATTGTACCAACTTTTTCCTGTCGATATCAATGTTAAAAGTGTATTTATTGCATTTCATGTCAGGGAGACCAGTTGTGGGAAAGAAAGGGAGTATTCAAAAATTCAGCCCTTTTTTTTTTTTTGACAAATTCTTTAATATGTGACATCAACTTCCTGAATCTCTCTTCCCCGTTTTTAAATTAAGTGAGTGTGTGTCTGTGTGCGTGGCTGTGTGTTAAGTGTGTGTGCGTGTCTGTGTGTGTGTGTGTGAGAGAGAGAGAGAGAGAGAGAGAGAGAGAGAGAGAGAGAGGGGAGGGAGAGCTTTTGGAATGCTGTGATGTCATCAGCCGAGTCTCTCTCACACACACAACACACAACACACAACACACACACACACACACACACACACACACACACACACAGAGAGAGAGAGGAGGACCCACAGGCGCTGTGACTCTCCCAGCTCAGTTAGCATACTCTGCTGTGGAGCGGCTGTCTACATCCCACTGTGAGTACTTCAGCTAATTCGACCATTCTCTTTTAACTCCCTTTGCTTTTCTACCACTCTTATCTCTGCCCACTTCCCCCCCTCCACCCCCCCTTTTCTCGGGGTATCTGCCTCCGCAACCTAAAATGTGTTTACACCAATCTGTGTTCCACCAGTGTGATAGTTCTCAGTCTGAGACAAGCTTCTTTCCCTCCAAGTGCTGCTTTTGTTGGTAGCCTTTGTTTAACTCCCCACTGTGATTGGTGAGGTCCATTTCAATCTCCTTGTTTGAGAAAACCGGCTCCTGCTGTCCTGGTTTATGACCCGAGTGTGTGTGTTGTGTGTGGTGTGTGTGTGTGTGTGTGTGTTTTTAGAGCTAGAACTGCAACGAAATTGAGCCGCTATCTTGTGGGAGTTTTTTTTTTTTTTTGAGTGGGGAGAGAAAGGAACAGAGGTTTGGGAAGGATTGTGTTGGTGAGGAGGAGGGGGAGGAAGAGGAGGGGGGGATGTGGGTCACTGATGATAGAAACAGCCCCATTCCTTTGGAAATCTCCTCCCATTGTGGGCTCCAAGCCTCTCTGTCAGTTTGGAAAACCGGGTTTGGGCTCTTCCGTGTTCATGGAAGGTGGGACAAGACAAGCGACTAAAACAGGCAGTCCATAGGAGTGGCTAGACGAGAAAAAGTTTCTGAATGCGACAAAGGTGGATAAAGGGAAAACATGGGACATATATACTGTAATAAAAGTGTGGAATCTGTAGGGAACATCAATAATATACAATGTAACTTGGCATATGTTTGTTAAGTGTTGCTTTCTTTTCTTGTAGATCTTCCCAATGATGACCTCCAAAGACAAACAAAACTGACATCTCAGCTGGGAGGGGAAACTGTCAGCACAAACAGGAAATACGATTTTGTGTGTGTGTGTATGAATGAGTGTGTGTGTGTGCGTGTGTGCGTGTGTGATTGTACAGTATGTACGATACTGAGCGTGTAAGAATAAGCATGTGCCTTGGTTGCTGAAGAACCTGAAAAGTTGTCTACTGACGACATGAGACTATAAACTGAAACAGTCCGCCTCAAGAAGCTGCCGGCCAAAGGACAGCGTTTCCTTCCTCCCAAACTGCTTGTCCTCCCCGTCATTCAACATGCTGCAGCAGATTTTAAAGGACATGTACATCGACCCTGATGTGCTGGACGCTCTCAACGAGGACCAGAAGAAGACTCTGTTCCTGAAAATGCGCCAAGAGCAAGTGCGGCGCTGGAAAGAGCGGGAGGAAAAGCTGGACGGAGACGGAGGGGATGCTGAGTGCAAGAGAGCGAAGCCAAAAAAAGGTAACCGCCATCCCATCATCATCACCATTACTTCACCTTTGTTAACGTGCCGGCTTCCTGTTCAGCTAGTGCAACAAGTTGCAGATACCGGTTTAACAAGCGGACTGACCATCACACGTTCAAACACAGCCTTTGACAGATCTGCTCTTTGTTAAGTTAGGGACTGAAAGCTGAATATTTTGGGAGTTAGAAAGCTTGATAAGAGCACAGCAGAAGCGTGTGTGAATAAGTTGAGACAAACAGTCCTTTTAACTCGTGTTCCTCCCATCATCTGAACATCTGTTGGATAAGACCAACACAATATTTAACTGAAGTCCACTTCAAAAGTTTCCTAAAATACATTCTTGAGCTCACAAAAATCCAGCTGCTTCCTATAAATGTGTCTTTAATGTTGTAAAATCTGAGACTTGAATGGTGCTGACATTCAGCATGATTTACAGTCAGGGGTCCATTTATACTTCACCAAGTGGACTTCTATTTATATCTGCAGTCCTTAACAATTATTGTTTAGATAATTTTGTTCCAGCTATGTGTGCATCAGAGAGAGAAAAAATACTAGGCCAGAGATATCACTTATGTCTGGAACGCAGGTTTAGATGTGTAGATGCAAACATCGGCATTTGAGATGATGAACAATGAGTTGGGGGGGAATAGTGGTATTAAGCCGGGCTCACTGGCAATGTGGCTGGTAATGTGTTGATCAGTCGACTTCTGCACGACAGTTTTGATGATCAGTATACATGCATTATTCAAACAAAAGAAAACAAGGAGAATCACAGTCAGTCAGGAGGATGCACGTCTGTGCTGAAACTGGTTTGACGCCTACTACAGAATCTCACCTGTCTGCATTTTCTCTCTGGTGGCAGTAAGTTCTGCTCTGAGAAGTGACGGTTTAATGACTCTGACATAACACACAAGGTACAGTATTTTTATATGATCCAACATGGAATCCTATGATGAGGCAAATACCAGAGCCAGTTATGAAATAACCCTGCTGCAGTATCAGATAAAGCCAACTCATCGTGTTCACATGGTGGCCATTTTCCTCTGAAATTATGCTTTACATGGAAACTTTAAATACTGTTATAATGATATTGTTCCAGTTTTAAGTTAAATCTGTATAGGGACTTTGACAAGTTATCATGTCTCCTCATCCTGTATTATCAGCACCTTAAAGGCAATGGATTGTGATGATATCTTAAAGGTCCATATTCTGCTTTTTCTGGTTTTATATGCCGTTTAGTGTGTTTTCCAAGTGTCCTGTGCATGTTTAGGGCACATCTATGTGCAAAAATTCGAAGTCTGCGGAAACGCGGTTTCTCCTACGTCCTCCTGTTAGCTGTAGCATTAGCCGCATGTAACGCTCAGTTCTAGTCCCCCTCGATAAAAATGGGCTACTGATCTAAGCCCATTGGCTCGTTGTGGCAAGCCCTGCAGCTCATGTTGAAATTTCCAAGATGCGTGCTGAGCAACTGACCAATAACGACAGAGCGGATCGGCAGACCAATCAGAGCAGACTTGGCCCACGTGGGGTCTAACAGTGTGGGCTCAACAGAGTGCAGCTGACGGACTCAGAGCGTAGAGGGAGCAAGGAGGAGCAGTACATGAAAACAGACACTTTTTACGGACTTTAGCTATTGTGAACGTACAAAAGTAGGTACATAGATTAAATATACGAACCCCAAAAAGGGCAAAATATGGACTCTTTAAAGGAGCAATATGTAACTCTGACACCTAGTGATTAAAATGGGTACTGCAGTCCAAATTCAAAACATTGTAGAGAGCTGTCCCCCATCCTCAGAGTAGATGTGCATGCAGGTTTCCATGTTGCGGACATGGAAGCTTCAGTGTTTAGCCAGCTCTGCAGCGGTCTTGAAACCTCTCTGCATTCTGTCCTCACTCCATTTTTTCAAAAGCATCTCCAGTATTTATCCTAGTTTGACCACGTGTCTGCTCGTGGCGCTTATTAGAGAAAGGCCGAGGCTTTTTTAGGACGGGTAGATTCAGATAAATCCAAACCAGTTTGCTTTCCCGCTTTTCAGTCATCTATCGAGAAGCAAGGATGTGAAACTGTTTCCAAACTGACATGAACACAGCAGTAAAACAATATGGAATGCACCAATACATACTTGGACATTAACCTCGCTTCGGGCTTTCAGTTAAGACGGCCTCTCCACACTTTAAACTTTTTTTGTCATCAGGACAGTCAAACTTTTAAGTTGGACTGAGTGAGAATGGGTGTCACTGACTTTGTGATCGTAAATCAGGCGTTTAAAGTAATTTTTTTCTAAATAAAATCTCTTTATGTGAAGGAAGATTAAAATAAAGGATTTGTAAATTAGTATGATTGACTTTGTAATGAAGGCTTTTTTGACTTTAACAATGTTCACTAGTGTTAAATCAATTGTGGTCCGTGGCCCACACGGGCAAATGAAAACAAACAACATAAATAACATATGTCACAACTATTCATTTAAAAAAAACATCGGTATTGGAATGCACTATAGATTTTATCAATCGGTGCATCCTTATTAAAATAAATAAAGAATATGAGCTTTCCATCCTGAGTGTAATACCAGAAAAACAATGGCCACCGGTGTGAATATGGCCAATCAACAGCACAGTGCAGTTGATGCACTAACTTTGATTGACATCGTAATGTGATCCGTCTTGCCTTGGCTTCCAACAAAGCACTTGCACTATACACTGTGCTGCAGAGTGCGAGAACAGAGCTCTTTCTATCTCTTAATGACCGATGCAGCTGTCCTAAGGAGGCTGGATGGAGACTGCAGGCTTGGGTCACATGCCCGCTTCTTTTCTCCACACAGGCTCCCAGTCTGCAGTGAAGAGGAAATGGTGGATAGTTAGTGTTTCTGTGTAAAAAAAAAAAAAAAGTGAGTCAACACCCTGATCCTTGCAAACAATTAGCAGGCGGTGAAACAGGAAGTGTGCAGGAAATGTATGTGTTTGGAACACAAAGAGAGAGAGAGTTTGATTTTTATCTTGGTGGCTTGTGAGCTAACATGCTAAGTTTGGTTAGAATGAGAGTTTCAGCCTTTTTCTGATCATGAGATTCTGCTGTGGCGGGGCTATGACTACATGCGTTATGTGTTTACGTTGTAAGAAAACTGATGACATTCATATGAGGCCGAGGGCAAAGAGAGAAAACCTTCCCAAGGAGCGTTTAGAGCTGAAATATTTCTTACAAAAATAACCTTGGCCTTGTCTTTAAGATAAAGAACTCTATCTTCTCTCATTTTAGAAACATTACTCTGCTTGTTTATACTTTGGAAGCGATGTTGGAAGTTTTCGTAGCGCCACCTTTTACAGTAGGACCTTGGACATAGGCCAACAAATGGATACGCTTAATGTTCCTATTGTTAGCTGACGGATTCATCTCACCTGCGCCTGACAAAGGTGTTGTGATTTGCAGCTGTCAGTTTGGTCTGTACGCTTTGTTTGCTCAGGTATGTTCTGAGTGCTGTGTTTAACGTAATCATCCTGGTATGCCCGGGCTACATTGTGATCCAAAGGGCAAGCTAGCAAAACCAGTTTCACGATGAAAGTATGTTATCCTGTCTTGAACCCCAGAACCTCTGAGTAGATTGTCAGCTGGTTTACTTCTATTCAGTGACTTCTGTATGCTCCCAAACATAGTCACATGGCAGCAGCCGTGTGTGACCTGTTGTGCTTGTTTGTACGTGATGACTCAATGTCCTCACAGAGATACACAAATGAGGAAAACAGGAGTGTAAAAACAAAGCTATATGAGTGTACGCTAGATCTCATTTATTTTCATTTTAGGGCTTTGAATTTTGATTGTGTTTAAACGGGGAATAAAATGAATTTTCATGTCAGATTTAATTCCGATTAGAGTTTGAAAACAGAAAAGGGTTTCAGTGAAACCTCACATGTATGTTTATACAAAACGAGAACAGGCCCTTTCCCCCGTCAGCTCTGTTGATATCATTCTCATGAAGGTGCTGTCTCAAACATTTGTGTTCAGCTGTTTAGGTCCCAGCAGCTGTTAGCCCTGCTGTTAATAGACTTAAACAGCGGAAACACTGGTGAGAAGCTGACACTTTCATTTCCGAATGACTGAATCTACAACTGATTATTTGATGGATTGTCTTCAAAGAGAAGCTAAAGATCAAATCTTTTATTATTCATAGAGTCCGTTGAGACAGAATCTCTTTCAAGGAAAACTGGAAAAGGATAGCATATGTCAAATAATATAAAAAACAATCCAAATGGATTCATGAAGCACATTTAAAAACAACAATTTGAGTACATTAATATAGTATTCTATTAATATGTATTTACTGTGGGTTTAAAAAAATCAGAGGGAGTAGGTTAAGTGTTTGTCAAATGAATGTAAAGGAGATGCTACATTACAAATCTTTTTAATTGGGACTTCAGTGTATATCCTGTTATGAATAATTTAGGGCGCACTCACACTAGGCAAACTGTACCGAGCTTAAACATGCTTCACCCCTAAAGTCCAGTTCATTTGACCAGTGTAAAGTCTTCCGATCCGTGCTCAAGCAGGGTTCACTTCTTTGGCCCTGGCACGCTTGGAAGAAGTGTGCTTTGGCACGGTACAGTTCATGCACGATCACAAGCATGGGTAAAGCCTTCATTATCGAGAAATCCCAGAGTGTTCTGGCTGTATCTGACTAACATGACTCAGAATAAGCCACAAAGTCAGTAAAGTAGATGTCATGTTCTCTGTGCTGTTCTCAGATGTGTGGACGTGGACTCGACCGCGCGTCCCTTTCATTAATTCTTTTCGAGTCCGCCTGTCTTGTATTCTAAGCATGTTTCATAATAACATAAAGCAATGCAGTGCATGTGTTGTATTACGGCGTTATGTACAAGAGGTAACCTCGCTCACTGAGGCCCGGTTAGTCCTGGAGCAGTGTGAGTGCAGGCCAGCGGGGGAATGGAGAGGAGGGGACATTGGTGCTTAAGCCTTAGTCTAGTGTCACTTTTAAAGTCTTCACTCCTTCTTTGAGTGAAGGTTCTCTTCATTTAAGTGACATAAAAAGCATTTTTACACATTTGACCAGGTGTCTCAATGCCACTGAAGTCATTTTATGTGTTTGTGTGTGTTTGTGTGTACATGTGTTTCCTCCAGCCAACAGTAAGAATGTGAGCTGGCTGCTGGGCCGGGATGGAGACGTGGCGGTCATTGTCATCGGGGAGGTGGATGAGCTGAGCTCCAAATTCATCTGTTCGGGATTTGGAGAGAAGAAGACGCCGAGTCTTCAGAACAATACAAAGTAATACACCTCTGTTGCGTGAAACAATACAGACTGTGAATGATGGGTCGCATGAAAACATTTATTAGTGTCTTTTTTAACTGACTGCTATTAAGGGTTGAACTTGGCTCCGTTGCAAACTTTCTGTTTTATTAATATGGACGATATGAGTATTGTATGTACAAAGATTTGACCTGCTGTGGTTTTTCTTCTTCTTTTTTTTTTTGCAGCTGTCATACTATCTTGAAGAGTAGAAAAATCCCAGAACCCGTCAGAATTGAGAGAGAAAACCTTCCTCCTACATGTAAAACACAACCTGGGAGTGCTCTGAATCTGAAGGTGTGTAGCTCTTTGTCTTCAGGCCTAAAAATCAACCTTGTTGTCTGTCACTGTCAGTATTGTATGAATCTATGTACATCTTAAAGCTTTTATTGACATATTTATATATAAAAAAAAATAATTAATTAGATTGGGAATCTCTGCTCTATCACACAAACTCAAATCTTCCTTTAACTCATCCTCTAAAATCAACACTGATATTTGTCCATTTTCACTTCTCTCACCTGCAGTACCATCTTTTTTTTAAACACAATTATGCTCCGCTGCCTACCATTAAAAATCAACCCTCGCCAACTGAGATGCAGCCCTCCTAACCTGCGCCTACATTTTGTGTGAAAATAATCATTCACTGGATCATTTCCAGATTCTCTCATATTTTAATGTGTGTGTGTGTGCATGTGTGTGTGTGTGTGTGTGTGTGTGTGTGTGTGTGTGTGTGTGTGTGTGTGTGTGTGTGTGTGTAGGTGTGTGCTGTTTTTTTAGATTTTTCTTTAGTGGGGGGGGGGCAGGTGGAGGCGAGTGCTTTCTCCTTTTTTCACGCTATCTTTAAGAGCGATTTTCCTGCGTTGTCATGGAAACCCTGCACACAGTGAGCCAGCAGCGAGCCGGGCTGGATGGTCTCATCTGGCCTGACCAAGATGATTCTCTGAGCTCAATCTGCACGCTGCTCACTGAGTGGAAATCAGAGCATCACTGATTTTCATGCAGCCACGTCATCACACCTACTATGCTCAAAGAACTCCTCATATGATATCATGATCATCTCTTCATTAAATGTGAAACTCTTCCAGCTCTTTACTGACTAAGACGGTTAAACAGGATGACGTGTCGCCTCTTTATATCGTCTAACATGGCGCTGTCTTCTCTCTGAACAGGCGACAAAAGAAGAGACGAGCACTTTACACCCTCTGCCGGTGAGTCTGAGCCACTGCCTGCTGTAATAGTTGAGCTCTATGCTCTAGGGTTGCATCATGGCCTGTAACACCGGTGTAATGTCTGTGTTAAACCCACAGGTGTCAGTGAGCGAGCATTCATCACCTCCAGCAGCAGCAGAAAAGGTATTTGTCCATTAAAGTTATTGTAGGACTCTGTTTACTGTCGCTGCTATTTTAGTTGTCAAGCCATTCAACTGTAAACCTGTAACAGCTTATTTTCTAGTGTTGTCTGCACTAAACAACACGTTTAAAAAAACTGTGTGTGTCCCTGAAAGGTTTAAAAAAATCAGTAGGAACAATCTTCCGCTCTTTTTAGATGTGGCTTTATATTGAAACGTCGGTTCATGGCGTTCACTCCCTCAGTGAGTAACAGGAAATAGTGGTTAGGCCAGCTGTCCCCTCACTCCCAGCTTCTCTGCAGATCATCTTTCCCCCAGCATTCTCCTCTCTCTCTCTCTGGGCTCCCTCTCGTCTGAGCTGCCGCACCCCTCACAGCTCTCTCCGGGGAACAGCTGAACTCGACTGTCCCCTCCCGCTGGCTCCATCATCGCTCCAGCCTCGAGTTGAGTTGCTGGAGTGTGCTCTCTTTCCTCCTTTTCTGTTGTTTACGCTCTCACAAATGTGTGTGTGTGTGCGTGCACGCGTGTGTGTGTGCAGGTGACACACAAAACACACCGCAAGAGCAGCTGAATCACAGAGGCAAGGCAGGATTTCTGGACTGCCCCAGAACAGATGGTTGATGAACTTGATCAGGGAATTAAAACGCCAGAGATAGAGAATGCGTCAGTCGCAGATGGATGGGATTGTGGGATATTCTCCTGAGGTTTGGGCGCGTGAGCTCGCCTCTGTTCTCGGTTTTCTCACTCCTCTTTGCCACAGAAGAAAATGTCTCTCCCTTACTTCTTACATCTATTCCAGACTCACGATATAACGGGCCCCAACACATCTGCAACCAGACAACAAGCAGATTTTATTGGGAAATAGTCAATTGTGTTATCTTATCTCTCTATGTGTCAATGCTTACTGTCAGATACATGATAACTCATTTTATGTTGCATCGATGCCGAGGCAGTTCAAAGTGCTTCACACGAGACATCGAAAGCATCACGACAAAGGAGAGAAAAAGAAACCCGATAAAGAGGACATTTGAAAATCAGTAAAACGAACAATTAAAAATCAAAGAGCAGTGAAATAAAAACAGGAAAAAAAGGTAACGCTGTGGTGTTCTTGGGGGAGCACAGAGTAGAGTTGTGGTTAGTTTGCACGCCCCATGTGTGGAGGTCTGTAGTCCTCCAGGCCGGTGGCCCAGGTTAAAATCCGACCTGTGGCTCTCCCCGTTATCCACTGTCCTATCTCTAAATAAAGGCATAAAAATCCCCAAAATAAACCTTTTTAAAAAAAAACCTGATGACTCTTCAACCTTGATGCAGGAGAACTCAGAGTTTCAGTGGACCTGCAGTTTTTTGGAGTTTGTTCCCGATATACGGAGCTGTAGTGAAGGGCGCCGCGTTACTGTTCTTGATATGGAATGACGACATGAAACTCATATGTATCAGAAACTGATACAATACTGGTATCTGTAATAGATCAGCTCTACTCGGGAGTTTTAAAGAAAAAGCAGACCAAACCTGGTCAGTGATTGCATGATTAGTTTTCTTGTTTGTGTATGGTTGAGTCGTGCCTGGAAACAGAAAGAGGGTGTTTTCCTGCTGCAACATGTATCAGCGGGTGTTGCCAGCTCTGCTGCAGGTTTCCTCTTGCTGATTTGAAGAGGGACGGAGTCTGCCTGAGAGGGGAGAGAGTGAGATTGTTGATTAAGAAGGCGTGAGATCAGGAAGGAAGATTAGCGAGGCAGCTTGATTTCTAAGTCACCTTGTAATTTTCCCTCCACCAATCCTTAAACTGCTAATCATTGGTCATAGCTCTGTGTGTTTCATTACTGCAGCATTGAAGTCGCTGGAGAACTGTAATTTGCTGAATCATTTATGCAGTGATTTAATCAAACATGACAGTTATGCCACTGTATGTGAATTAGCTGTCAACACTCATCGCACTCTCCTGTCCCCTTTTTTGTCGCTCTTTCCTTCAGTTGAAGTCAGCCAGTGCGGCCGTGGAGAAGTCAGTCCCTCAGCCCACCACCGCCACCACCATCTGCTCCAGGCCTCCCATGAGAACCAGCCCTGTCAATGTGAGACCAGCTTCTGCAAATGCGGCGCCGGGTTCTGTCAACACAGGACCCGGCCTCGTAAGTCTGAGGCTGGCCTCGGCTGCATCGTCTCCTTCGCCAAGCGGCACCGTCAAAATAGACTCTGGCGCGACAACACCCGCAAAACTCCTCCAGCGCTCACAGGAGCAAAAGAAGACGCAGGAGTCACAGGCTGGGAAGGGTGAGTGAGCATAGCATCAAGAGTCTGATGCCATATAAAATAATCTGACTCCATTTTATCCGATAAAACAAATCAGTCTTTTTTTTTTTTTTTTTTTAATTGTTTGGTAAATTAACACGGGGCAGAAAATATACAGCAAAATGATAATAATAATGTTACACACATCTAAGAATAACATTTAGAAACCACCATGATGCAGCTAAAACATTTGTCAACAACATAAAACATAATAAAATAAGTTAAATGCTCCTCGCACATGTGCAAAAGTTTTTTTTTTTAAACATAATTTTATGGGGGTTTTTTTTTCTCGTGTCCAATGACGAGTTCTAGAAAAAGTTGACGTTTAGAATAAACAACTGATGGCATACTTATCTTAAAAAGAAGAGAAGTTTTTTACAGAAAGGAAAGGATCTAACTGAAGGGCATTTTGAGAGACGGATTCTGTTAGGTGGTTCTATCAGTGATACACTGGACACATGATGTTGGTCCAAAATAATTCAGTCCACCTGAATGGCACGTTATCACAAACATCCACTGAGAGATCAAGAGAGCCATAATGGCTGTGGAGAGGTGTGCAGAGCAGAGTTCATACCCGATAGGTTTCATTAGCACCGTAGCAAGAAAGAAGGATTTATTTCTCCAAAACCCCTAATGTGCTACAGCCAAACAGTGCCCTCAGCCCGCTGGAATCTTTATGGAGTGGCAGAGCAGAAAGAGGCCAGTCTGGAGGGGGACACAGCTAATGTGACTGGACTTGGTACCGCTTTGTCCCAACACACCTACTTGCTCGGTAGCTTCTCTGTGGTATCTTATAGGTGCATGCCAGCTGTGCAATTGTTAACAAACACTTGAAGAGCCTGATCATTTGACCAGAACAAAATTATTGCTAGAAAAGAAATTCAGAATTAAATACATGTCCCCTCCCCCTTAATTTAGGCTTTTATGAGTTTATGTAGTTTGTTGGAATTCTTAATTCCATTCAGATCTTTTATTTTCTAAATATTATCTTAACCCAGTGTGCAGATGCATTAACTTAACGTGAAATTGGTCGGCCGCCAGGTAATTCTTTTGAAATTAAATGTATTGAAGTAAAAGAACATCATACATATAGATGTAGCTGTATGCATTCATCTCAAATGTATACTTCTGTAAGAATAAGGTTTAATGCTTTCATTGATTCCACTTTAATCAAGTCAACATGTGAGGAGAAGCACATGAGACACTTTCTATTCCACATATCATATCTCATTATGGAGCCTGTGTCATTTGGCAGCCTTTGTCATTATTGGATAAATAAAAGCATCATTAAGGAGGGTAGTGACAAAACCGTTAAATTAGCTGCATTACAGTTGAACTGCTTTTTATATTTTATTCATTTTCAACCAATCACTGCTAGGCTTCACCTGTCTGGTTGACTTGTTGCTTTCTCTCTATCTCTATCGATAGTAGGGGTATTTTCAGGCTTTTCTTTGAGATATCTTCGGCCTTGACATCCATTTTACTGTCACTTTTTACAGTGTGCTGTGCAGATAACATCCTGTTTGAATTGTATTGAATTATAAGTGAGCTGTGTAGACTTCCTGTCTGAACACAGCATCCAATTTCATGAATTGACCGAATAGTCATTCACTATACAGTGACCCAGTTATACAGAACAATTGGTGGTGTAAAGGGGGAAGTTAGCACCATCTAGTGGAAAACAGTGATACAGTAGAAAAAAAACTCTAGTTCTAAAGAAAAGCTTGTCTCCATAGGGTCCCTCTGCTGGAAAAATGTTCATCCTACAGAACACATGCAAACGCACAGCAACAGTCAGGGGGAAGTTAACAAGCTCTGCAAAAACTTTCTTTTCATCATATAGGAATTTACAGAGCAAACTTTAATACAATGCATTTTTTGTTGGAAGGCTGAAAGGTTTCACTCAGATGGAGAGTCAAACTGTTTCACTTTGTGGCTCCTGAAAGATAAAAGCTGTCGTGATTAAGAGGGTTGCAGGGTCAATGCCATCCTTAACTTCTGTAGCATGAAATAAATACACAATTTCTATTTATTGTCAGCTTAACAATAGCATCCGTCAATGTGGATCATTTCTTTCAGAAAAACATAAACTACAGTCTCATGATTTCCGACAGAACGTTCCTCTCAAGGTTGATTTCTCCTCTTCTCTTCCCTACATGTTTTCTCACTCTTTTTGACGGCAGCTGAATGGAAAAAGAAAAAGCGTCTCTTTTTTTCCTTTTTTAATTTGAATGATTTTTTTCTGAAAGTTCCTGGCGGTTTAATTGTAGATTTTTGAGGAAGGGCAAATCACTTCAAAAGCCAGGCATAAGAAAACGAACAAGCTGCAAAATGTTGGACATACTTGTGAAATGATGGTTGAAGATATTGAATACGTCACTGGACACTGGATATCATGACCGGAGAGCTCTCTCAGAGAGTTCACAATTACTTGACATACAAGTGTGTTTGCATCAACATTAGAAACTAAATATGACATTGGCAGGTACAGCCATGGCAGTGATTAACCGACAAATGATGGGGTAAAGGGGCAGCTGTTTAGGTGGGAGTTAAGGGGGGCTGAACACAGTGCTAAAAGCATTTGTCTAGATTCTAAACCAAAAAAAATACAGACTAATTATCTATCAACAAGCCTGCCCCTCAGGGAGAAGGGGGACCACTATAGAGTAAGGCTCATGCCTCAGCTGTTGACCAGGATCCCCGCGTCCTGCGAGCACAGACCGCCATCATGACGCTTGTAGAAGAAGAACTTGATAATCTGCTTAAGTGACGTTTGCTCCCTGCTGGAGCTGGACTGAATATTTGACCTAAAGATTATTACGACTTGAGAATTAAAGAAGCTGAGTATGATATTGGATGCCATGACTTAGAAACGAGTGGTAGTGGAGAACACAGGGTAAAATGTGTGACTAGATTGAAAACATGAGGTTGTTTATATTGTCAGGATGCAGTTCTTAAGGGATTAGCGTTTTTTCATACTTAGGAAAAAGACACGACTTTAAATTACAAATAGAGGAATCAACTTTATTTTTGTCTGAAGTACAGGTTTCAGGATGTCTTTAAGCTCCTGTGAGGAGTTATTAGCTGTTAATGAAACAAAAGGAAATACTGATGTTTTCTATACCAAGGCCATCAGAAGATCCATTATTTTTATAAAGTCACTTTACATGTTTATCACCTCAGCTGCAGGGTCCGTTTCAGACCGGGGGAATAACAGCGTTTACATAACAAAGATTCATTGTTTGTTGCATATCAGACATTAGAAATATAAGAGGGTGAGTTTGTTTTGTCACAACACTTGATCATGTTTAGGCCGAGGGCAGTAAAAAGATAAGTGGTCCCGCTTTGTCCAGTTCACAAAACTCACACGACCCAAAACTTACTGAAGGACTGAGTTACTGAGCTTAATTTAAGGATCTATTGTGCTTAGGCTACCTTTTCATTAAATACATAGTATTAGCCTCAACATGTTTTGATTAAAGTCAGATAACACTATCATTTAAAAACAAAAGAAAATGAACAATGCCACAAGAAGTCAAGTTTCCTTTATTATGTCAGTGTCCATCACCTAAAGCATATTCCATGTTTTCAGTTGCTAATGGACTAGATTATTAACAAAGGTTAATGAGCAGTGTGCCCTTTGAGCAGGAAATGTAACTGTGAACAAAGTGTTAACAATTAGTTCAAACAAACTCTTAAAGTGAGTAGATATTTGAAATGTGTGAGAACTGAACGTGATCTCTTAAACTTGTAACTTGAGGCTTTCTTAGAGTATGCTGTCATCTGCATAGAAACAGAAGTAAGATGATATTTGAGGATATCAGACGGAGAAGCAGGGTGAATGTAGAGCTGACCCGAGAGCTGCAGAAATATGTGTTCGTTGTGCACTATATCACATGATTTGAACACATGTGAGCGTGAAAGTGTATCAGTCTGGTGTGTGTGTGTGTGTGTGTGTGTGTGTGTGTGTGTGTGTGTGTGTGTGTGTGTGTGTGTGTGTGTGTGTGTGTGTGTGTTCGTTCGTGTTTATAAATCCTTCCCTGTCTGTCGGTCGGCTTTTCCTCTCCTCTCTCTTCACCTTCAGAGGGAAGGACACACATTCCTGCGCTGCTTCCCGACTCTAGCCCTGGGCGACGCTCAGCCAGAGCTGATAAGTGACAGGGGCCCCAGCCCCCACACAGGAGGCCCCCCACCACCAACACACACACACCAACTCCTCTCCTCCCTGCCCTTCAGTCCACAGACATGCTGCTTGGGAATTCTGCCCTCTGCCCCACTTTGCCCCCCCCCCCCACGCCTCCCCTTCTTCCTTCGCTCTTTCTGTCAGGGACGTGGAGGTCTTTAAAAAGATAGATTGGTCTTTAATTTTTGTGCTAGCCTGGTCAGTGACACGGCTTCACGCCCCTTCCTCTTTGTCCTCCCTTTACGTTTTTACGAGCCGGCCTGAGATGTGAGGAGTGGCGCACGAAAGCTCAAATGGGAGATTAATCAATCTTGATGAGTGATTTAATGGCGAGATTCTCTTTCATTTTAATAGGTGTTTTCACAGGTAGCTTTTAATGACTGTTTCTGCTGACGAGGCTGAGAGTGCAGCTGCTGTGGAGAGTTTCAGGCAGAAAGGCGTGGGGTCTGAGCATTTTTCTTGGGTGTGTTAGGACAGGTTAGTCAGGTTAGCACAGGAAGGTATCAAGGTTTTGCATAAAGAAATACACAGACTTTAGTCACATATATGTAGGTGTATAACTATACTTGTATTTCTTCACAAAAGTCTTTACCTCTTTTAAAACAATTCTCCTTCTCCTGTTCTTCCTATCCTTGTGTCTTTCTATTAAGCATTCCACTCAGACCTGCAGCAAGGCTCCGAGCTCGAAAAACTCCCTGACCGCGTGTGTGTATGTGTGCACGCGTGTGTGTGTGTGTGTGTGTGTGTGTGTGTGTGCTCGGTGCGTGCCTGAATGTGTGTCAGCCTCAATTGCTGGAGCCTATCCAAGGTTTCCGTGGTGACCACACAACACAACGAGACAATCAGAGGCAAGCCCACGCAGCGCGGCGAGAGGACATTAACACAGGAACCGCGGGTCAGGGGGCAGAGGAAGGCAGGGCAAGTCAGAGGAAGAGATGAAGAGGAGGGTGGAGGGAGGTGTTAGAGCCACGGGGAGAGGAGAGAGTGAGAGAGGAGAGAAAGGAGAGTAAACAACAATAAACAATAACACAACCTTAAAGGCTACTTTAGGTCTCTCCTTTTCATGCCTGCAAGACATCAAGAGGCTTTAAAGGTTCCCCAGCCCCAGGAGTGCCTGTGCGGTTTTTGGCTGTACCCCACCTCTGTGTGTGTGTGTGTGTCTGTGCCTGTGTGTGTGTGTGTGTGTGTGTGTGTGTGTGTGTGTGTGTGTTAGGGAGAGATAGGTGCATGCGTGACTGAATCCATGTGCAGGAGGGGTGTGCAAAGGTGCATGTGTCTGTGTTTTTCCGATGTGTTTGAGAGCATGCACGCAGCTGAGGGTAACATGAGAACACGTGTGTGTCCTTTGGAAAACTAAACTGTTAGAATCTGTGTGTATGCTTGTGCATGTTTTTACTTTATATTGTGTGTGTGTGTGTGTGTTTTCTGTGTGAGCTTGTGTGCGTCTGCAGCCCGTGCACGCGGGCGCTCTCACATATCTCTGTCCCCCGGGGATGACGCTAAAAATATGTGGCTCCTCAAGCCTTCTGGTGTCTGAGCAGCGTCTGTCTGCTCTCCATTGCCGTCCCTGTGGCCCTCCCTCCTTCCCTCCCTCCCTTCCCTCCGTTACTCCTGTTCCCTCCATTCCTCCCTCAATTACACCCTCTTCCAATCCCAGCGCACATACACACAGCTTCTACACCCAGCTGTGTCCCCACTTCACTTCCACTGAGGATGACCTCTGCTCAAGCAGAGAGGGGATAAAGGGAGGCCAGTGAAAAGGAGGGAAAGAAGGTAGCCATTTTTTCACATGCAAGTCAAGAACAAATTTCTGCCTCCATGCAAGGAGTAGACAGTAATGCATTTTCAATTATTTCCTATTCTAAATAGAGCTTGTAGCTTTTAGCTTTGTTGATATATTTGTCCCTGTTTTCAGTGCTACACCCTGACCTTAAATTGCATTCAAAATCTTAAAATTAAAACTTTTCAGTTACAACAGAAACTTTAAAGCACAGTCCTCAGTTTATTTGCATTTAGTCTATTTTCCAGAGTGTAGCACTGAACACATGAAAATATTTCAAGAAAGCAACAAGCTCTATTTAAAATGGAACAGAATAGAAAATGCATAATTGTTAACTCTTTGCATGCAAAATACAGAAATGTGTCTTTGACTTGCATGTGAAAAAATATGCCATGTATAACACTCCGAGAAACACATTTACACAAGGTGGCACATAAAAAAAAAAACATTATACATGATGAAAACACAACGCATCATAAAAACAGGCACAATAGGGCTACATGTGCGAATGAACCAGGTTCTTCATGCTCCATACTGACAGGTGTTCATTAGTAATATAACATGCTCTGTTCAGTATGAGCTAGCTTCCTTTAAACTTGCCTCACTGATTTTGATATATTATAGAAACAGGGACAAACAGTTTTCTGCTCATATTTTTCTTCATAAAAGCGACTCTATCTTTGTCCTGACGTGGAGATTACCCTTAGTAGTATTTTAGCATGTTAGGCCTCATTTATTCTAAAACTTCCCTTTTTAATTAGATTTTTGTGTTATTGCTTTGAATCTGTCAAAAAACTTTAACATAGGGTCAAAATTATAAGTCATTTATTTTACTTATTTGATTTTTTTTTTTAAAACAAACGTATTAAAATATATTCATCCTCTGGTTGTTGCACTTATTATCACAGTTATTATTTTGCCTCTGCACTTAAGTAAACCTGGTCCTTTTTTTTTTTTTTTCAGGTATCGGTTCCTCAGAGGCGGTTCGTCAGACGACTCAGGCGGACTCCGTGTCATCAGGGAGCACACAAACCAGTGCAGGGCCGCGCGGCCGTGTCGCCCAGCTGATGAAAACATTCAGTGTTGAAGGTTCCACGCCTCCCGCACAAACCCCCACCCGCGGCATCAAGCCCCCTCTCCCCACTAAGCCCAGTCACCTGCGTCTGACCACCACACCCACTGTCAGGTAATCTTTCACACCGACGCCCACTCAGCTTCATCCCAAACACAGCCACACTGGACGATGTTGTACGCCCACTATGGACCCTCTGCAGAGTGGGCTGATGGGATTGAGAGCTCCTAAAGGACACTCTCAATTCACAATGTTGCCGTCACTCCCAAAGCACAGAAAATGGAGATTCTTGAATGTAATGGTGTTCTTTGACTTGTGGATGCTGCAGTACTGTAAACACTATTTGTGGGGAGGAAATGCCAAAATTGTAAATATATGTATTAGCAGGGTATTGATGACTATCATGTATTCACTTGATTTTTCTTCCACTTTAACATGTGGCGGAAAAAAATCACAAAACACATTCTGACACAGTTTTGAGTCCAATTATCGACCCTGCACGCGCAATATTGATTCCTTACCAATATGATTATTTTCATCGCTGGCTTTTGGGGCTCAGTATTTGAGGTTCAGGACAAAAGAATGGCCACATGGGACGGCCCAACAGGGTGAAAGAAAGCAGCGTAGGGTCCTCCTTCATCTTGCTGTCTCCTCCCCGGGACCAGTGCGGGGTTGTTTATTTGTCACAATGCAGTGCATGCCTCCCTGTGCCACCTGGCAGGAGCCTCTCTGCGACCTGTTGTGGACCAATGACAGTGCCAAATGCCTCGTCTGTCTCTCCCCGTGGATCAAGTTCGACGGTCACTGCCAAACAATCCAGCTCTGTGTTGCTCTACTCCATATTTGAGTACAATACAAGTGATGTGTGGTTGTATTTTATGTTTTTTTTATACACTTTCTAAAGGCAGGAAGATGTTTGTAATGGGATATTTACTGTTGCTACAATGCTCACTTGTAATTTTTTTAAACTTTATGTCAAGCTTGTATGGTGCAATCAGAGAAGCAATAAAATTGTGTCGCTCTTAGAACCTGTGTGTGAAAGGTCTTCTCTTCTAGATGTGCAAACTTGTATTGTCAAGTATCACTGAGAATATATGTCATATAAAAAAAAAAAAGCCTCAGCAAATAGTCCTGCATGCTTCACCAGGGTAAGTGTACAAAATTTAAATTTCAGCAGAGCTACACATCATCATCCACCCCCACGCTTGTTATTACTGTGCTCCGACATTTCCTGCTTAATTTCCAGGAGTGCTCGCCAAGCTTGCAAATGAAACTGAAATGTTTGCCGATGCTAAAAGTGAGAGGCATATTCTCACATTTGGATCTGTGATTTCCATTGCAGATCGCAGTCACCTCGGCTAATGTTTGGCAGCTGTCTGTTTTGTTTAAAAAAATAAAAAAAAATAAAAAAATGAAGACATCTCCAAGGTAACAAAACACCTCAGTGGTGTGAATCAAAGCAACACCCCAAAAATAATTTAAATTGACGCACACCACGGTGATATATGATCATGTAAGAAACACCCGATTCATGAACACATCCTTAGATGAAGTAGCTTCTGCATGTCATTTATTTTGCTGAATAAGATCTATTTCGTGGACCCGGGGATTGTGTGCCTGATTTCATAACACAACAATCACAACAAACGACCTCTGAAGCTCCTAAACTTTACAGAAGAAGACATTTTTTAATCGATCTGTTTAAGCTACATCATGCGATTGGGTGTGCGCGTATTAACGTCCATCAACTGTATATTTGTTTGAAAGAAAAACGCTTCATCAGGACTCCTTCTTCTCAACAGGCTACATTGAAAAACAAAAGCACACACTGCACCACCATCATGGTTGTGTTTTTCTTTGTCACAAGTATCATTTAGCAAGTATCATTAGCGGATATTGTTTTGGTCCAGCTGAAGAGACCAGATGTGCCTCCACAGAGCTGATCTGGAAAAAAAATAAAAGATTCCTTTTTCGGGTTTTGCTGTTTTCAAGGAGACTTTAAAAAAAAAACCTCTACAAGGAAATCTGCTGTCTTGAACAATGTTACCGCTGTATGAAATATTTTTTTTCTCAAAACACAATTCATTTTAAAATCCTCGAAAAATGAGCGTTGAGTGACGACTGAGATGAAAAGTAGTTTCACTGTGATTTTAGTTTTGTATATTGATGCACAGTATGCATTAGAGCAAAGCGCTCAAGGACATTTTAGGAACCTGCTGTAGCACATTAAATAACCTAGGATGTTTAGATTTTCTCTCTTAGATTTTCTTTATTGACATGAAAGTGAAACTACAAGACTCGAGTGTAGTGACTAATCTAATGTCCCAATGTTAGAACCATACTTTTAGTCACTTGCTGAGGAGTATGGAAAGGTCTGAAATGAAAATTCCCATTTATAAAAGATGAAGCAGACAAACTGTGATGATGATGTGATGAGAGATTGTTACCGAGATTACAATTGTTCTTTTTGTTGGTGGTTAGAACCTTTTGTTCCCCCCACCTTTTCCACCCAACTTCCTGTTCACCCCTGACCTTTAAATATTCAACCATACCACCTTACCAATTAACCCACACCATCCATTATCACCACCTAGTGTCCAAATTAAGTAAATAAACAAACATATAACGTTTGTCTATTTGAACTCTTCTTGGGTCTTTTTTATAACTCTCGCTGCACCTGGTTGAGGTAAGCTTAAACCTTGAGTACATTTATTAAACATGTCTTAAATTATATAACATCAAGACTGGTTAAATGCTAGGTTTCAAAATGCTAAGAATTGACTCCATTTTTTTTTTTTGTCAAAGGTTGCTCTGTTGATGGAGCTGAAAGTGCTTCAGGCCAAAGTGATAAGACTCTGGCAGCAAGGCATGCACTGCAAATAGTGCACTGCTGTCCAAACAGAAACGTTCACATGCTTTATCAGAGCGAGCTCACAGACAGTTACACACCAGGGCCACTTTTTATAATCACCAGTAAATATAGGGAAAGACGTAAATGAACTTTTTAAGATCAAATGTTCTGTAAAAAGACTTCCAACCGATCATGAAACATGAAACATTTCAAGTTTCACTCTACATGCGCACACACACACACACACACACACACACACACACACACACACACACTGTAGGTGCTTGTGCAACATGCTGCAAAATGCTGAAGCACGCAACTGTGTGACGCTGCCTCTGTCTCCAAATGAGTCCAACAATGGCTGTGGCTGTTCTCTGATGCGCAGAGACATCGTCGAGCAGTTTCCAGGAGATATCTGTGGCCAGTCCCCTTGGTATGCCGCCCCCCATCCCATCCGCCGCCCCCCCCCCTCACACACACACACACACACACACACACACACACACACTTCTCTTCATCCTCGGTGCCTGGCCGCTGCTGTTGTCAGGGCCCTCCGACGGGAGATAAAAAAAGAGGCTGTTGTTGTCTCCTCGCAGGAGAGATGGACGCCTGTTTCTCTCTCTCTCTCTCTCTCTTTTTCTTTAGCTGCCTCACTCCCTTCACACCCACGGAAGGGGAAGTAGAGGGGAAAACTGAGAGAGAGAGAGAGAGAGAGAGAAAGAGTGTGGAAGAAGGAAAGAAAGCTCTACAGCGTGCTGTGGCGTTCCACCACACCACCAATAACAACCCCCCCTCCTCCTCCTCCACCACCACCAGCACCCCCAGTAGAGACGAGAAACAGTGAGCGAGAAAGAGAGAGCGAGAGAGAGAGAGAAAAGAGAAGGGGGGCCGAGGCCATGTGATACGGAGAGCATGCGGGCACAGCTTCACCCCCAGGCAGAATGAACGGGGGCCTGCTGTGTCTCTCCTGCATGATTAATCTGGCTGAGGGGCAGGAGGACTGCCACAGCCCAGCCTGCATTAACTCCCTACTCTCCAGGTCCGCATGAGTACACACACACAAACTATAACACACACACACACACACACACATACCAGTAGTATAGGGAAGCCATGGTCAAACATAACTGGCCTTGAATTGGATTGGATATGGTCGTGGCATGTTCTTCGGATTTGTCTTTTTTTTAGGAAATTAAAGCTCCTGTGAGCAACTGCATCAATCTTAGGGACAATTTATCTCTTTGCTAATCTTGTTCTGAACATGTTGAAGTGTTTTCCTACAAAAAGTCATCACTTAATACATCAAACGCCCCATCTGACACCTACCCCGCTGCAGGGGTCAAAGGCCTTTAAATTAACAATGTAGAAACAAATAATCCTCGAATTTTTGGGCCTTGATTGCTGTTGTACGTCATATGGAGTCATCAGTGTTCATTTTAATATGTTTCCTAACCATCTTAAAACCCCAAACAGGAGCTTTAAATTGCCATTTTCTTAAACTGGCTTTTCCCTTTGGACACATGCTAAATCAGAGTTTCCATGATTTCTGTACTTATTCTTATATTTATTAAAGCTTTCACTTGTGTTTATTTTTTGTACTATTATTAGTCTTGCAAATTCTTATCAACTGTTTTTTTTTTCCTTTTTGAATGACTTCATGTTTGCATGAAATGTTCTTGAGACATTAATTTGACTTAAGTTGGACTTCTATGGAGGTATCACAATCTGACCCTGTTCAAATTAAATGTATAGGCTCCTTGTCATTTGCCAGTCACTGACACGTCACCAAGTCTCCTGCTCAGAGCATCATGATGCACGGCCGCTCAATAGCTTTGGTTTCTCGGTAGTTCTGGTTTCCTGTGACTCATCCTCTCATGTGACCTCATGTCTCCCAGGCAACATTGTCGATGTTTGCCGGTGCCGGTTTCGTCTTTTGTGTAATTCATATGAGGCAGATGGTCCAGGAAATGTGGTTTACTTTTCAAAAAATGACTCCCAAAAAACATGTGTTTGGCATGTGATGGTCAAATTTTCAAATCGGCATGACAGTTTGTGAGGATGCACAGCAGGCCTGTCACACTGTCTCAAAGTGACGCAATACAGGGGGAATTATATATGTATACTGTAACTATCCACGCATCGTCCTGCAGTGTTTGAACCTCTGTAAGGCAGAAAGTGTTGTTTTTGTGCAGACGTGGAGCCTGAGCATCAGAGGCAGGCAGAGGGTTAACATCCTGCAGTCCGCTCCACATTAACTGGAAAGGAATGAAGTGTCAAGCATGTTTTCACCACAGCGAGACGGTCAAAACCCCCTCCTCCTCCTCCCACCGAGCAGTCACCCCTCAAACCCTTCTCTCCCCAACATCTCCCACTCCCTCGCTTCCCACTCCCAACAACCTCCCACAGCCATGACCAAATTATTTTCCAGCCTCCTGAGATTTGCCGTGCCAGACAAAAATCTGCAGCGCCGTCCCGATTCGGTGAGCGAGCACACTCAAGACTCCCTCCTCCAAATTAGGTCTTCTTTTTTTTTTTTTACCAACTTGGCCTGTTTTTAAGGATCTTTGTGTGTTAAAAAGACGGATGTAAATTGCTACAAGGCAAAAAGTTTGTGTTAACTTTTTTAATTGTACAAGGATGTGTCCAAGTGGTTAGTTTTGCTGGATGAATATCCAAACACAGGTATGGTACTAATGCAGGTGTTCTGGTTTGAAGGCGTTAAATTAAAAGTACTGAGTAAGCTACAAGAAGAGGGAGGAAGCACAAGACAGAGGAAGAGGACGGACACTCACTGATTGAGAGAATAAGTGAAAAGGGGGGGGAGTAAAACGAGCGTGAGGAGACACAGAGCGAGGGAGGCAGAGAGAGAAAATAAGCCCCACCAGTGAGCAGGCCACACAGCCCTGCCAAACTGCTCGGAAAAAAAGCCCCCTCTGTTTTATTTATAGTGCGCTGTATCCATGGCAACCAAAGAGGTCAGGCAAGCTGGGCCTGCGCTTCACCCCGCTCTGGGGATCAGGATTTCACAGAGGCTCTCAGATGTGAGGAAGGTGGGCTAAAGCGAGTGCGCTGCTCGCCAACGCAGCCCTCCTGCCTCTCGGTGAAGTCTGGGCCCGCAGAGGGAGGAGAGGGGGAGCAGCAGAGAGTCATGGGAATTCTGTGGGAACGCTGGTTTTT